ATTCATTCATTCATTCATTCATTCATCCATTCACTTGATCTCTCAGTTGTTTCATTGTCTGCCTGTTACCCGCCCCCTCCTTGTACTTATCCAGCATGAGTTGGGCATCTTTTAATAGGGCCTTCGCCCGTTTCAAATCTCTTCTCAACAGTTGTTCCACGTCTGTGTGTGTGTGTGTATGTGTGTGTGTTTGTTGGTTGTATGTGTGCGTGTGTGAATGTAAATCTGTGTGCATGCGCTTGTTAGCATGTGTGTTTGCGTGAGTGTGTGTCTGTTTATGGGATTGTGTGTTTGTGATCATAATTGTAATAGTTACTAACCTTAAATCATCATCATATTATTATCATAATTGGATGAAAAACCGCGGGAAAATATCAAAACAGGAAACGAATGCAACTCGCTCACTCACTCACCTTTATCTCTGTCTGGTTTCTCTTGAGCCAGCATCTGTACTTTCCTCTCCATCTCTCTCCTCTCTCTTAGACACCTCTGTCTTTCTTCCATCTCTTCTTCTAACTGCGCTTCCAAGTTTCTGAACTGAATGAATGAGTGAACGATTGGTTGAGAATTGATTGACGAGTGAATAAAAATAAGACAGATGAATGGATGAATGAATGAATGAATGAACGAATGCATAAAAAAATGAATGATTGAATGAATGAACGAGTGAATGAATGAATGAATGAATGAATGAATGAATGAATGAATGAATGAATGAATGAATGAATGAACGAACGAATGAACGAATGAATGAATAAATGAACGAACGAACGAATGAATGAACAAAAAACCTTTTTCTGGAATGTTCTTTTGAGTTCTTCAAGATCGTTCTCTTTCTCTTCCAACTCTTTCGAATGCTGCTGCCTGACTTTCTCCTTTTCCATTTCCAATCTCAGTTTGACCTAAAAAAAAATAATAATAATAATGAAAATAATAATAATAATATATATAATAATAGTAATAATCATAATCATCATCATCAAAATCATCATCACAACCTGCTCCAGTTGCTGTATGGTCCCGGCCTGTTCATCAAGTTCCTCCTCCAGGTCTTTCACTTTGTTTTCCAACTCGCTCTTGAGCTGACGGCTTTTAATGGACTTTTTTGTGGAAATTTGTTTAAACGATTGGTTGGTAGATTGATTGATTGATTAAATAAATAATCAATTAATTAACTAATCAATTATTTAATCAGTTAACTAGTCAGTCAGTCAGTCAGTCAATTGCCAACCGACCGACCGAGCGACCGACCAATGTGTGAATGAATGGATGGATTAATCATTCAAGCAATCATTCATTTCATTACTCATTCATTTCATTACTCATTCACTCATTCATTTCATTATTTATTCACTTATTCATTCATTCATTCATTCATTCATTCATTCATTCATTCATTCATTCATTCATTCATTCATTCATTCATTCGTTTATTCATTCATTCAATCAGCCAGTCAGTCAGTCAATCAACCTCCTTGTCGTCTTTCCCAGCGGACACAAGATCAGTCATTTCCACTTCAACCTTGTAGAGTTTCTGACATTGCATGTCATAATCCATCCTTAAATTCTGCGTAATTATGAATAATAATTAATAATAACAATAATTATAATTATCATAATAATAGTAATAATCATAATAATAATTATGGACTATATTTAGTAATTGGGCGGCGTCATTGAACGAGTGCAGACGGAGATGATGAAACAACTGAGAAATAAAAACGAGTAAATGAATGAACAACAACATTATCATTACCACCATCATCATCAACAACAACAACAACAACCAACGCTATCATTGCCATCATCAACAACAACAAACATCATAATCATCAACAACACAACAACAGCAACAACAACAACAACGACAACAACAACCTTAACTTCTTGATCCAATGCATAGTTCTTACTGATCAGTTCATCTCTCTCTCTCAGCAGTTTATCTCTCGCCATCTTCTCACTTTTCAAACTGTCGTTCACCTTCGCCAGTTCAGCGTCAAATCTTTTTGGGGGAAAAAAGCGCTAAATAAATTAGTTACCTTCACACGCACGCACATATGCAGACACACAAACACACAAACATACAGACAGACAGATAGATTGAAAGACTTAGACATATAGATGAATGAATAATAAAAAAAAGACAGACTGTAACAGCACACATAGAAACATATACACAGGCAGACACATACATATATAGACACACACAAACACAGAGACACACATAGACAGACAGACAGACAAACTTTTTCTGTTTCCTCTCAAGTTCTCCATTTCTAGACATCTGCTCTTCCAGGTGCATCTTCACATCCGCCATTTCCTGCGTCAGCCTCTGCAACTTCCTCTTCATCTCATTGGCTGCCTTCTCCTGCTGATCAGCTGATGCCACGGCTTCAGACAGCTGGTTTTGAATAGGATTATTGAATTATTTGAATTATTATTGTTATTATTATAATTATCATTATTATTATTATTATTATCATTATTATTATCATCATCATCATTATTATTATTATTATTATTATTATTATCATTATTATTAGGATTTTACAATTATTTCATTATTGATATTTGGTATTTGGAGTTAGATAATAAAAGGATGTTCTCATTATTATTATTATTATTATTATTATTATTATTGTTGTTGTTGTTATTATAATTATCGTCCGACATTGCCATTCTCTGCAACAACAAAATGGAAACTCTGAAATTAACAGCCTGCCATGAAACCATCCTTCAACCCTCCAGACAATACAAAAGAAAATATATACTCGAATAATTTACAACCTCGCTCGAATGACAACTACAACCGCTGCTCAGTTACTAGTAATCCATTCGAAATAACACCAATTGGTTTTTCAAAATAATTTTAACCTTTATTTATTTAGAGTTTTACGGCCGAATTCATTCAGTGACGAGTTAATAAGTGAAGTGATAAAAATCATCCTACAATATTTATTGTGATAGAAACACGCCACGATGCTGATTTAAATATATTTTACCGCACTGCAGCTCTGGGATCTACTACTAAACCCATTCATTAATTTTATGAATTTTATTAATTAATTTGATTAACGCTGCTATTTTACTTTATTTTATTTATTATATTTAATCATTTGCTTTTAAAGTCAATAAAGATAAAGTTTTTGAGATCAATAAAAGTGCTCCCAATCAATCAATCACATTATTGTAATTTTATTGTGATAGCTTTTTGGCCGATGTTGTTGTCGTTACAGTGGTACAGACGGACGGATAGATGTAATCAATGTCATCATTATCACCACCATCGCTATCGTCATCATTATCATCACAATCATTATCATCACCACCATCATCGCTATCATTATCATCACAATCATTATCATCACGATCATCATCGCTATCATTATCATCACAATCATTATCATCACCACCATCATCGCTATCATTATCATCACAATCATTATCATCACCACCATCATCGCTATCATTATCATCACAATCATTATCATCACGATCATCATCGCTATCATTATCATCACAATCATTATCATCACCACCATCATCGCTATCATTATCATCACAATCATTATCATCACCACCATCATCGCTATCATTATCATCACCATCATTATCGTCGTCGTCATGATCATCACTACCTTCTTTTCCAGATTCTTCTTCAGACAATCCATTTCATCCTGCTGTTCCTCCAACCTCATCGTCATCCTCTTCCTCGATATCTCACTCTCTCTCTTCAGTTTCTCATATCTCTCCTTGTATATCTGGTGGGAGTCTGGTGACGATGACGATGATGATTGGCTGTGATGATGATGACGATGACGATGATTGGCAGCCATGATGACGATGACGATGAATGACTGTCATGATGACGATTGGCTGTGATGATGATGACGATGACGATGATTGGCAGCCATGATGACGATGATTCAATGGTGATAAGGATGATAATTGACGATGATGATACTCGTACTGGATGACGATTATGTTTAGAGATAGTGGTGATGATGATGATTGTCGGTTGTAGCCATCATCATCATCAACAACATCAACATCATCATCAACATCATCATCAACATCATCATCATCATCAACATCATCATCAACAACATCATCATCAAAAACATCATCATCAACAACATCCCCAATCATTAGCATCATCATCATCGTGACAAACCCCCCATAAGATCATCACCATCACGGCGATCATCATCATCACTGTCGACCATGACTGTGGCGGATATGACCTTGACCTTCATTAGTTCCATCTCCATCGATTGACATTGCGTTTGGAGGTTGTTGTACCTCGTCTGCATGTGCATGCGTGTGCGTGTGTTGTGCGTGCGTGTGTTGTGTGTGCGTGCGTGTGTGTGTTGCGTGTGTGTGGTGCGTGTGTGTGTTGTGTGTGTGTGCGTGCGTGTGTGTTGTGTGCGTACGTGTGTGTGTGAGTTTGTAAGTGAGTGTTGGTGACATTATTGTCGATAGTTTTTTGTCAGTTCGTATGTTCATTCAGTCTATCAATTGTTTATTGTCAATTTAATCATGGACTTACAAATGCATGAACGAACGAATGAATGAATAAATAATGAATGAATGAATGAATGAACGAATGAACGAACGAATGAACAAACGAATGTTTGAACGAATCAACCAGCCAGCCAACCTGCAAATCCTTGACCTCCTTCTCTAACAGCAGCCTCTGATTCAATTCAACTTCCAGCATGTCCGTGGCTTGAGTCGCGTTGCTATGCTCTTCTTGCAGCTCCAACATCACTTCTGACAACTGCAGTGGCGAAGAAAATGTTGAAGATGATGTTGAAGATGATGATGAAGATGATGATGAAGATGATGATAAAGATGATGATGAAGATGATGAGGAAGATGATGTTGATGACGACGACGACAATGAATTACGTCACTCACTTTGATCTCCAGTTTATCAGCAGTTTGCTTATAATCGTGCTTCTCTTTCTCCAATTTTTCAACCCTTTGTTTCAGCTGCTCTATTTCAGTCTGTTAATGATGGTGACGACGATAATAGTAATGATTACGATAATGATGATGATAGTAATGGTTATGATAAAATCGTTAGCATGATGATGATGATGATGATGATGATTGCGTACCTCTTTATCTTTGAGTTCCTCCTCTGTTCTCAGTACATTGAGCACCGGTTTGACCTTTGTGTACAGCTTCCACCACGGCCAGTGCCGTACGAACATTAACTTTCGTACATTCTTTTGTATGCACGAGACTGCTAATTGCTGTAACTGTATGTACGTGTGTGTGTGCGTGTGTGTGTGTGTGTGCGTGTGTGTGTGTGTGTGTCTACATACCTTCAACTTTTGTAAATTTTTAGAAGCGAGATAAGTCCTTGAAATGGTCTGCAGTTTAATTAGCCACGTTGATACTCTGGCCTCTCTTAATCCTTCCAACTGGTACAATATTCCACTGTGGAAAAATACCTGGTTGGTTGGATGGTTGATTGATTGATTGATTGGTTAATTGATTGATTGATTGATTGATTGATTGATTGATTGATTGATTGATTGATTGATTGATTGATTGATTGATTGATTGATTGATTGATTGATTGGATACTTGATCAAATATAAAAATGGAAACCTTAGTATTCCCAAGAACATACGACGACTGGTCAATATCTAGATGTTCCAGAATACCTTCTACAATCTAAAAGATAAATGAATAAAATGACGAAGATAATGGCAATAATAATAATAATTTCTAATTTAATAATAATAATAATTAATCAATGGACTCAAGCCTATAATAAAAATTATTATTATTATAATTATTATTATTATTATTATTATTATTATACTGACGATCTTACTTACTTTTTTATCATCTACGTCATGAGGCGACGATGATGATGAGGGCATAGGAAGGAGGAGGTCGTATTTCTGTTTGAAATCTTTGAAAGGAATGTTCTCCGGATATCCTGATAATGATGACGACGACGACGACGATAGCGATGACATTAGCAACGATAACGATGACGTCATGAATAATAACAACAATAAAAATAGTAACAGTTGCAACAACAACAACAACAACAACAACAATAATAAAAACAATCAAAAACAATCAAAAACAATCAAAAACCTTGCTTGAACAGTCTGACGGCCGGCAAAATGCTGTAAGACCTCAACTGCTGCCTCAAATATGGAACGTCGATGCTGGTGACGTCATTGCTGCTGTCGGTGACGTCATTGCTGCTGATGTTGATGCTTTGCTGTTGATGCTGCCTCGGGGCTATGCAGTGGATGAATGATACTTTCGTCTTCTTGAGCATTTCTATTAGTGTGTCCTGTCTCATTGTTATTGTTGTTTGTTTATTGTTATTGTTATTATTGTTATTATTATTATTATCATTTGTAGTAGTAGTAATAGTATTAGTATTAATGTTGTTTGTGTCAATCAACAAATTAGCCAACCAGCCATCCAACCACCCAGCCAGCCAGCCAGCCAGCCAACCAATTAATCATTCAATCATTACTTAACCATCCATCCATTCATCCATTCATTCATTCATTCATTCATTCATTCATTCATTCATTCATTCATTCATTCATTCATTCATTCATTCATTCATTCATTCATTCATTCATTCATTCATTCATCCATCCTTCGATTCATTCATCCATCCATTCATTCATTCATCCATCCATCCATTCATTCATTCATTCATTCATTCATCCATTCATTCATCCATTCATTCATTCGTTCGTTCGATCGATCAATCACTAATCGAACGGCCGACCATTTGGAATTTGATCTGTAGACACATGGATCTCTTCTTAACGACAGCAGAGGAACCCGAAGTTGCAAAAGTTCTTTTCATGCTGGACACCCTTCTCAAAGAAGTGGTACTGTCCCCGGCAACCCCGAGTTGGCCACCCACCAGTCCGACAATGGAACCGCCCAGAATTCCGCCCCCGCTCGTCGCGGTGGACTTGCATGTCTGACTGAATAGGTCTGATATTTCTGGTCTGTGTGTTTGTGTGCGTGTTTTTGTTTGTGTGTTTGCGTGCGTGTGTGCGTGTGTGTTTGCGTGCGTGTGTGTGTGTGTGTGTTTGCGTGTGTTTTTGTTTTCGTGTGTGTGTGTGTTTGCGTGTGTGTTTTTGTTTGTGTGTGTGTGTGTTAGTCGTGGTTTTTGTAAAGTATCGAAGTCGTTATTTTATTGTAGGCATATGTACAGTACATTTTAAATACGAGTTGTTGTTTCCAACATTATCATCATCGTCATATCATCATTAACAAAACCATCATCATCATCACCACCGTCATCATCATCACCATCATCATCGTCGTCATCATCAGCAACAAAACCACCATTACTATAATCATCAACAACAAAACCATCATTACCATAATCATCCTCAACTACAACAACAACAACATCGTCATCATAAGCACCTTTTAGAATCGATAAGAAAGGGTCCAATATTTTTTACACTGGCGGTTATATCCTGGCAAAACTTCAACCAGCCTTTAACGTTGTATAACACCTGGAGGTGGGGTACTCTTCTAGTACGGTGTTGTACAGGCGGTATTGTACATCAACCACAACAACAACAACCATTAAAACAACAACCATTACAACAACAACCACCACATCAACAACAACCACCACATCAACAACAACATCAACATCAACAACAACAACCACCACATCAACAACCACATCCACAACAGCCACAACAACAGCCACATCAACAACAAAAACAACAACAAAAGCCACAGCATCAACAACAACAACATCAACAACAACCACAACATCAACAACAACAACCACAACCACAACATCAACAACAACAACAACATCAACAACAACATTATCGTCGTCATCAACCTTTTTGGCTCCATTCATGTGGTTTATAATGAAGGAGTGCTGAGATGACGTTGAAAGTAATAATGGTTCTTTAACTGTAACGAAAAAAATGATTGATTGATTGATTAATTGATTGATTGATTAATTGATTGATTGATTGATTGAAAGATAAATTGAAAGATAGATTGATAGATAATAAACTACTGCCAGTATGGTTTCAGAGCCAATAATTCTACTGAGCTAGCCGTTCTGATATTCATGCGAACAGAATAATGACAGAATATTTACAGTTGGAGTCTTCATTGACCTCTCTAAAGCCTTCGGCGTAATAAATCACCATTTGGTTTGCATTCTCATTGTCATGCTAGCGACTATTACTCAATTTTGAATCTTTTGAATGTGAAAAAATTCACATTTATTTAATCGCGATTTTTGTATTTAAATTTTTAAATAACCTATTGCCTAATTATTGTGAAGTTTTTTTTTCAAATTGAGCAGTTCATTTCAACGGATAGCATTGAGACAAACAACATTTTTTCATACTCAGCCAACGAGATTAAGTTTGATTCAGTCTGGTTTAAAATTCACCGGACCAAAAGTGTGGGACAGACGAAATAACTCCACCAGAAATTAAATCCCTCAACTTACTACATTTAATTAAGGACAAACTTAATTTTTAATAATGGAAAATTCTATCTTTCAGTAGCCTGTCATGACGATGATCCAAAGAACACCACTTGCATAAATTATGCGAGTTGATAAGAAAATATTTTAGTTTTTGGATGTTACGATAGTAACAAATATAAAGCAGTGTTTGATGTTTTGTTCCTTGCATTTCTTTTGTTTCATTAATTTTTGTTTTCAACGAAGAACTAGAACTATGGAATGTTTCAAGTTTATGAACTTTTTAAAAATGTATCAATTGTTATCACGGTGGCCTGTCACAAGTGGATACATTTTGGCTTCCGCGTCGTTTCATTTCATGCTTTAATTTCTTTTAAAATATTGTTTGATATGATTTGGCGAAATAAAATAAGAAATATGAAATAGATAGTTTGAAAGATAGATTGAAAGATTGATAGATAGACAGATAGAAATGTAGATGAATTAATTAATTGACTGACCGACTGACTGACTGACTGACTGGTTGATTGATCGATCGATTGGTTGATAGATTGAACAATCACCAACCAACGCACTCACACACTCACACAGACACACACACGCACACACACACACACACAGACAGACAGACACATGCAACCTTTATAATGCGAACACTCGATGAATAATTCATTGAGGAAACTCTCATCCGTGGTAGATGGCATGAGTGATTGCTCGTCCAGGAGCCACAGCAGACCACGATTGCTACTCAACTTCCGGTCGTTATCTGGGGAACGTGTCTGATTGGTTTGTAGATTAATCAATCATTCATTAATTCATTCATTGATTTATTAATTGATTTATTGATTGACTTATTTATTCATTCATTTACAGTTAAAAACCCATTGAATCAATTAATCAACTGACCCACTAGCCAGCCAACCGACTATCCAACAACCAATCGACCAACTAATTTACTAATAATTTGACCAATCAATCAGCCAACCAACCAACGAGCTAGCCAATCAGCTAAATAGACAATCTGGACCAACCAATCAATCAATCATTCAATCAACCAACCAACCAAATTCTGCGGCGGGTTGTCAATCATTTGAGTTACAACTGATGCATGCTGATCAGGATAGTCGAACAGTATGCCAATGTTTTCCTTCGTTGGTGAATGGGTGAATGAATGAATGAATGAATGAATGAATGAATGAATGAATGAATGAATGAATGAATGAATGAATGAATGAATGAATGAATGAATGAATGAATTAACTAATTAATTAATGGATGGATGAATGAAATAATGCATCAATAGATAAATGAATCAATAATTGAAGGAACGAAAGACGAGTGAGAAATTAATGAAAACCTGATCATAAAGATCGCAGATAGAATTGAAGATGTTATCATGAAAGAGCAGCTGCAATCGTTCTTGAATATAATTGGTCATTAGGTCGTCCAATGAGCGCGAAGCAGTATCATTACTATTACCGCAGTTTATGCTGCTTCTGAAGCCAGGGCAGTCGACGATTATTATCGAGGCAGTCGTTCTGTAGTTGGAAGCCATTGATCTGAAACGAACGAATGAATGAATGAGTGAGTGAACGAATGAATGAATGAATGAATAAATGAATGAATGAATGAATGAATGAATGAATGAATGAATGAATGAATGAATGAATGAATGAATGAATGAATGAATGAATGAATGAATGAATGAATGAATGAATAAACTAACCAACCAGCCAATCAACTAACCAATCACCCAACCAACCTATTAATCAGGGAGACGAGTGCATTCAGCAGCTCAACGTACAAGCCAACCATGAAACCTTCCAGAATATCATCGCCTGACGCATTGCTCAAGCTGCTAATGCTGTTGGCGTTCGGTGACGATTGCAGTCTGGACGCGAATGAATGAATGAATGAATGAATGAATGAATGAATGAATGAATGAACGAAAGATTAAATGAATAAATAAATAAATACACACACACATACATACACAAATACACACACATATCTACACAAATATACACCCATACACACCTTAGAGACGGAGACAAGCTGTTCGGCGTGCTAGTAGAACACTTTGAAATGCCTGATGTACCTTGAATTTTAAAATTCATAAACACACACACACACATACAAACACACAAACAAACACACACACGCACACAACACACATACATACACACACGCACACGCACACATACATACACACACAGACAGACGTACATACCTAAGGTTTTTAAAAGTTCTTCTAAAGTTGTGCCAAGCAGTGAGCAGGCACGCTCAACTGACTCAACATTTTCAAAATGAAGTCTGTTGTTGCCTAAGAAAAATAGCGATAATAAAATAATAGAAACAATATTAATTATGGTTATTATTACTATTATTATTATTATTATTATTATTAAGCATTATTATTATTATTATTGCGACAGAAATGTGAAATGAATCAACTTTAAAACTAATTAACTCTGGTCGTACTCTCTCCATTCGAATGATGAGCTTCTCAGATTAATACTCTATTTCTTGCATTTGACATTTTATTTTATTTCATTATTTTATTTTATTCGTACTGCCATTTTCATTGATTTTATTTCTGAATAAAAGATTGTTCTCCTACTTTTAACGAGTTTAGAAGCCCCCAGATGGTATATCGCAGCTAGAACCTGATGGACGGTTTTTACTTCATCTTTGGAAAATTTTAAAATGTCGAAGCTACTTAGAACTTTCAGCCAATGATGCTGAGCTGACTTTTGGCTGTTGGAGTTGCTGCTGCTGCTGTTGTTGTTGTCCTGGTCTGGAACGTTGTTGTTGATGTTGTTGTTGTTGGAGGTAAAGTCGAAATAAGGATGGCTCTTGTACAGTTTATCTAAGAATAGGCTTTTTCTGCAAGTTTGAAGTAATAAAACATTGAGAAAAAAAACTCTTGCTATTGTCGTCGTCGTCATCATCGTCGTCGTCATCATCATCATTATCATATACAACGACAACAAAAACACTAAATCATTAGACTAATCTGCTTCCTGTTTCCTGTACAAACCTAGAAGCCTGCTCAATTCCATTGAGAAAACTGTGGAAGACATTAAAAGTGGAACTCTCGCCGTCATCTACAAAGACATCATCATCATCAGCAACTCTGCTATTATTATTATTATTATTATTATTATTACTGTTGTTGTTGTTGTTGTTGCGGTTGTTAGATCTACCCTTTACGACCCGACTCTTTTCTAGCATTAAAATTTGCACGCCAGCCGAAACTATCTGGCCGTTCTGATCAAAATCCAGCGTGAACACCTGAGAGGTAAGTACACTGTATAACAACAACAACGACGACGACAACAACAACGACAACAACAACAACAATAACAACGACAACAATAAACAAACAACCAACAACAACAACATTAATAATAATAATAAATTGTGATGGAAATCCCGATGCTATGGATAAATAGTGTCTTGAAAACAAAATGATAATAACATTAGTCACCATCATCATTACCACCACCATCATCATTCATCACCATTATCACAACTCACCTGTGAACATTTATTAACGTTATACCCTCCTGCTAATGATCTACAGCTGGCAAAATTTTCCATTAGAATCTTTATGGCGCCCAATTTTTCAGCTGTTTGAAAGAATTTTACAATAGAAAAAATGATATTGAATTATCATTAGGTAGAAATCTCTTGCATGTGTGTGTGTGTGTGTGTGTGTGTGTGCAATTGTGTTTTTGTGTGTGTGTATAATTGTGTGTGTGTGTGTGTGTGTATAATTGTGTGTTTGTATGTGTGTGTGTGCGTGTGTGTAATTGTGTGTTTGTGTGTGTCGTGTTGTGTGGTGTGTATGTCGCATACAAATTTGAACTGAGTTTAAGTCATATGATTTGGATGCTTATATATATAAGAATATGTTTATATATATTTTTTATTTAAGTAAAAAAATCAAACAATGAAAATATACTACTATCACTGATAGTACTACTATTATTATTATTATTATTTGTATTATTATTATTATGATATTCACTTTATTGACATTCCTCAGAGGATTGTACTGTAATTAAATGCTTTGTTGAACAAATAACTTTTTAACTCTCTTCTGAAATCTTTTTCTGGAACAATTTACTACTACTACTACTACTACTACTACTACTGCTGCTGCTGCTGCTGCTGCTACTACTGCTGCTGCTACTACTACGGTACTACTGCTACACTACAACTAATACTACTACTACTGTTGCTACAGAAGTAACATTACTACAACTACTACAAATAACAACGATGATGATCACCATTTAATATGGAGTTGACAGTCCCACATGTGGCAACATAATAATTCAGGATATTATCCAACTGGAATGACTTTCCGCTTCCGGAATCGCCAAGCGCGACGACGGAATGATCCTTGCGTGACGTCATCATCGATTTAAAAGTGGACTGAGCTATTGAGTAAACGTGGGGGGGCGTATCCTCTGTCAGGTTTGTCCGGAATATCTCCTTGACCTGTGTTTGTTTGTTTGTTTGGTTGTTTGTTTGTTTCTTTATTAATTACAATTCTCTCCCAGATTTTGCTGAAAAGCATCATCAACAACAACAACCAGAACAACAACAAACACACACAGTACATGCATGCATGCATGTAAATACGCGCGAAACAATGCACCACACACACATACACACACACACACACATTGCATAAGACGGGAAGGCATCTCTTTACAATTGAGTATGATCACTGCAATAGCAGATGTAAGTGTCACTGTTGCTGCTGCCACAGCTGCTGCTAGTACTACTACTGCACAGCTGCTACTACTACTAGTACACAGCTGCTACTACTACTACTACACAGCTGCTACTACTAGTAGTACAACTACTACTTCTAATACGACTGATGCAACAACGACTACAACAATGGAAATAATTAAACAAAAAACAATCGGGAAAAACCTTATCGGAATAAATAGACAACGGTTTCAACGAGTTGACAGCCAGTGTGGTGTAGCCGGCATACGTGCAGACGAGGTTCGTGAGGAACCTCTGACGTAGAACGTGCATTACGCTGGTCTCGTTGACATAACGGAGGGCTGTGAGGTCTTCTATGCAGTCGTACTGGGCTGGGTTGGCCTGGGTTCGAAGGTCGAAGTGTCAGTCAACAATCAATCAATCAATCAATCAATCAATCAATCAATCAATCAATCAATCAATCAATCAATCAATCAATCAATCAATCAATCAATCAATCAATCAATCAATCAATCAATCAATCAATCAATCAATCAATCAATCAATCAATCAATCAATCAATCAATCAATCAATCAATCAATCAATCAATCAATCAATCAATCAATCAATCAATCAATCAATCAATCAATCAATCAATCAATCAATCAATCAATCAATCAATCAATCAATCAAACAGTCAATCGATCATCTTATCTGTCAATCAATTTGTTCATCCATCAATCAATCAATCAATCAACCATCCATCTATCCATCCATCAACTAACCAATCGATCAATAAATCAATCAACAATCAACCATCAGTAACCTTCTCAAGGTCATCTTCATTGACCTCAAGGATCTGGCCCGATTCGACCTTGACATTAACTTTACCGTCTGCCGAATTGGCAGAGCCATGATCGTCTGCTTGGTAGCAGGCAGAAAAACCCTTCTTATGTATCAACCAGAGTTGTTGCTGTTGTTGTTGACGTTGTTGTTGTTGTAGTTGTTGTTGATGTGACGACGACAGGCTGTTTGTAGTTGTAGTTGGTGTGGCTTGTTGGTCTTGCTGTAGCTTAGCCTTGGTAGCATATCATTGACATACCGTATTAACACGTCACTAACATTTCATTAACATATCATTAACATACCATTAACATAATCATTAACATAATCAGCATGTGATTAAAATAATTTGCATGTACTTTAGAAAAATTACCTATAATTAACATACACACGTACACACACATACATACATACATACATACACACATACATACATACATACATACATACATACATACATACATACATACATACATACACAAACACACACATACATACATGCGCGCGTAAACACACCCACACATCTACGTACACACACACACACACACACACACACACACACACACACACACACACACACACATAAACTAATTACATTAAAAGTAGTCTAATCAAATTCAATATACACACATACACACACACAGACACGCACGCACACATAAACACAACACACATGAACTAATTACATTAATAGTAGTCTAATCAAATTCAATACAAACCATGGATAATTAACGTGCATACATACCACACATTAAATTTGTATTGGATAAATACAAAAGAATACATGAGATAGAAAAAAACGAGAGACACGCAGAGAGAGAAGGAGAGAGAGAAAAAGAGAGAGAGAGAAAGAGAGAGAGAGAGAAAGGAAGGGCAAACAAAAACTGATGTTGTGTCCCTTACAAGAATGAAATAAATTACACTTGAAAGACATAAAAAGTAAATGTATGTAAAAATAGAAACAAGCATACACGCACACGTATACAAACACACGCACATACAAACACACGCAAACACATAAAGACACACACATAAGCACACATACATATAATTAATTATGTTTTAAAAGAACAATTATATGTATATAGCACTTCATTCACTAATATAATATACTAATGACACCATTGCTAGCATCACAAGAGCATTTACTAGGGGATCCTTTAGAAGCTAAAAAATTATGAGTTTGCTAAAAATTATAAATAACACACACACCACACGCACGCACACACACACGCACGCACACAAATACATATAGATATAAAGCAGCAAAAAGAAATAATTAATACTCATTTATACAAATAATTCATGAGCCAACATTACAACTGATATAAAATAAATAACATCAATAATAACAATAACAACAACAACAACCACAGTAATAATAACAATAACAATAATAATAATGACAACAAAACCAACCATCTTGTATTTTATACTCATACACCGTCCAACTCTTTTTCCACCACTACTACTATTACCACCGGCTGACAAAGATGATTTCTCATCCTCATTAGCATAATTGGTCATCTGCTCGATGAAATCACTAAATTCAGGCAGAGTCCTGACGGTAATGATTACCTCGTCGGCAGATTTTTTTAGAATATCGATGATGGCATCTCTGTTCCAATTTTCCACATTTTTGTTGTTGATTTCGATTATTTGATCTCCAGGTTTGAAGACGGTTTCTATGATATTTTTTGTACTTGACTCTGCAAAAATTATAGTTTTCCAGAGATCAGAACCATCTGGATTCGCTCCTCTTTCAACTGTTAAACCTTTTCTGAGGCTGAATCCAAAGTCTCCTGTTTGCAGTCGCTTCAGTGATATTTTTCTCTGTTTTGATTTGATTGATGGGTGATTAGTAAGTTGGGGCAGTTTCAGGTGGATGTTGTTGTAGGTTTTTTGCGTCGGACTGTCCGGTCTAACTAAACTGGTTTCCATTTTTGATGTGAATGATGGTTGTTGTTTAATTTGCTGGTGTGGTGTCGATGACGATTGTTGTCTAAAGTCATTATTGTTATCTTGGCTGAATGTTGATGTTAGATTTCTTACAGATCTAGGTGTCTCAGTCACCAAGTTTGGTTTTGATTTTTTCAAACTCGAACTCGAGATTTTAGGTGAGACAGTTGGTTTATCAAACGAGGAAATGATATTTTTCACACTTTTAGCAGATGAATTTTCACCAACAGAAACTTGCTCCATAAATTTTTTTTCTCCGATACTTGATTTGACCACATTGGTCTCATTCTCTTGTATATAAAAACTGGATTTATCTTTCAAAATCCCCTTTTTGGGTTTTGGCTGAACTGGGGGCAGAGGCTTTACTGGCTTGGAACTAAGAGACGATCTCGTGGCCGAATTAGTGTTCATGATTGGGTTAGGCTGCAACCCGCTGTCAGAACTCAAAGTGGCTGACTTTGAATTAGAAGAATCTATGTCACTTTTTATAGCAGAAGCTACACTTTTCAGCTGCAGGGATTGCTGGGCCTCCTCTAATCTGAACAATTCGTCGGCCGTCAAAGAAGCGTTTGCATTTTTCTTCTTCTCTTTCTCTAATTTCTCTCTCCGTTTGCGTTCTTTTTCCTCCTTATCCTTGTCAGAGAGTTTTTTCATAAATCCAAACATTTTTTATTTTTTTATCGTCTGATAATTTTTCAAAAAATATGTATGGCTGATGAAAAAATTGGATGAATAAATCATGTAATTAATTTTGATTTTTTTCAAATACTTTTTTTTAAATAGTGAAACTAACAAATCACAATCGTACCTTTGGAGATTTTAAACTAAAGATAAACAAAATTTTTAAAATAGTTAAATGTTTTAGAATCGATTTTTAAAGTACCTGTTTATGGAAAAACGTATCGAGCTTTTTGATATCAACGGCTTATTGGCATACAAATTGCCTGATATAATTTTGTTACAGTTTTAATAAATTATTAAAAATAAATTTTAATATATATTTATTTGTATCATTTTAATTTAAAAAGTTGAGTGTATAGACAGTATTTGCCGTATTTGCCATGAATAGTTGTTTAAATTCACTTTTCAACGTGTATTTCCAAAATGATTTTTAAATTTAAATAATTTAATTTATTTCCTAATAAAATGACGTCTACGACTGCAGACGAATCGAGGGAAGAGTTTATTTTCAAAGTTTACATTGGCCTGTCTTTTATGTTAACGATTTCTACAGTCATTCTGTTTCTCTGTAGAAGGTTGTTTTTAAAAATTGTAATTTACCAGTTTTTTTTTCTGGTAGCTTCTCAAATATTTTTTTCTCTTTTTCTCTAATTAAGTCTAAAAATTAACATTTTTAATTATTATTCTGTGCTACTGAGTGTGTGTGTGTGTGTTTGTACATGTACTTTTGTATTTATATATGTAATATTATGTATGCATGCATATGTGTATTTATCTGTATGTATCTTATTGATTTTTAAAAAATTTTTTCATTTAATTTTTTTTTTTAATTTTTAATGATAATTTTATTTTTGATCCCTCATAGATTAAACTTGAATGAAATGTTCCATATGGAATCATTGTCATCGGCCCCAATTCCTACTCCGGCTCCTTCCACTCTTATTCAGAAGGTGTTCAATCCATTTTTTCTACAGGTTTCAGATGATAAGGATGATAAAAGTAAGTAAGATGGATGAATTTTAATTGTCAACTAAAAAATCATTTTATTTTATAAAGTTTTATTTGTATCCTTTATTAAATATTTTATCTTTTCTACAGGAAATGTCTCACTAACAGTAACTAGTCACAAATCCTGCCTAATTCACATTGCTTGGGGACCAAAGATATCAAATATATATCCTCTTATTCATTCAGGATGGGAGCTGTTTGCTAATAATGAATTTCTAATAGATAATCTTAAGCAATTATCATTGTCCTATGAGCAAATTAAATTGTAAGTTAATTTAATTTTCAGATTTGTGTTAATTTATTTTTTAATTTCTTATTTTTTTATAATGATGTTAATTTATGTAATAATTTTAATAGAATTTATTAATGATATGATTTTTCTTTTTTTTACACTAATTTAATTTTTATTTACAAGATATTTTTTAAAATACTCTTAACAATATACTGCAAAGAGATCTAACAAGAGATGAACCATATCCAATGAAAATTTTTAAATTCACTCGCCCATCTCTAAACCTTGGACCCCCACCTAGATCACGATACCCTCTGGTCATCATTCTTATTGATGATTGGCTAGTTGATGCGCTCACAGACATACAATCAACCAATGATATTGTTAGCTTTTATCAACTATGTATTTTTAAATTAAGCTCCTCTCACTTATTATATATATATGTGCATTTAAATATAATTCATAATTACTACGACAAAATTAATAAAAAATAATTGTAATAATAATATCATTAATAATTATTAAGATCTATATATTTTTGTAACTTGAACCAGGGTTCTTTAATATCTTTTGTGCATTTAAAAGATGAATTGTGTCCGTCTAGTACACACATCTTCGATCAGTATGTCAAAACCCATTGTGGTACATTACATAATATAAAGGTTTTTTGGTTATTTAATGTGAATAATAAAAATTGGAAATAAATTACATTTTTTTCTATATTATATTATTATTAATTAATTTCTTTTTTATTATATTTATAAAATTTCTTTTTTATTATATTTATAAAAAAAAATTATTTTTTAAAATTTTTTCTCACAGCCTGTATACGTTGCCTCATCTGACGTACATTCAGAACATGAAACATCGTCGTCACTGCCATCATCATCATCATCACCACTGCCATCATCATCATCACAGCCAGTAGCATCGTCATCAACACCGACGGCCCTGGCTAAAAATAACTCAGCGGAAAACCGAAGTGCCGATAAACATGGAAAAGATTATGACAAAACAATCGCCAGGCTTAACAATGATGACGATAAACTTCTTCAAAACGATGTTAATGATAATGCTAATGAAGGCAAAAACACTGACCAATCGTTTTGTTGTTGCGTATGTCTGACCAATAAGATAGGAAGGGTTTTGTTGCCCTGCAGACATGCATGTGTCTGTGCCCCATGCTGTGATAGGCTGTTATACTGCCCTATCTGTCGTAATGTTATTAGTAGAACGTTTGATCTCGATTGTTAGATACTGATTTGATTGGCTGGTTGATTGATTGGATGGTTAAAGAGATGATTTGATTGGCTGGTTGGATGGTTAAGGAGATGATTTGATTGGCTGGTTGATTGATTATATGGTTAAAGAGATGATTTCATTTGCGGCTGATTGATTAGACGGTTGAAGAGTTTGGTTTGGCTGGTTAAAGAGATTTGATTGGCTCTGATTGATTGATAGCTGACTTGGTAATTGACTGATTGAGATTGATTGATTTCTGCGTTAACGTTTTGATCGGCTGGTAGTTTAAATTTTTTTCTTGTTGTCGCTATATATTAGTTCATCCATACATATACGTATACAAACACACATACATGTCTTTTGTATATACTTACTTGTTTGTTGGTTCTATTCAACTTTTTAAAAATTTTATGACAGAGAGAGAGAGAGAGAGAGAAAGAGAGAGAGAAAACTTCGAGGCCAAAATGAATGAAAAAAAATTTATAATTAATGTGTATTACATTTATTTATTTATGAATCCACTAAATTCCGATAATTGATTAAGATATATAAATGGCCTAAAACGGGTTGGGTGTTCACAAAAATGCATCTTCGGTCGTTGATGGGAGATGGTGTACTTTATGTACTCTAACTGGCCGATGTATCTGATGACAAATCAACTATTTCCACCCATATATACTTATATATATATATATATATATATACATATACGTATGATGAAAAACTTCAAGCCATGGTTGAACTGATGGTATAACAACGCAAAATAATAATAAAATGAATACTAACAATAATAACGATATATAGCAGGTGAATAATACCAAGAAATAAATTAATAATAATAAGAAAGTAAGCGACCAATGGTGATCAAAATAATTTAGAGTTGTTTCAATGAAGGGGACGGAATCATTAAGATAAACGTTTGGTAAGTTGTTTTTTTTTCTTATAGCTCTATATTTTTATTATTTATTAATATTATTATTAGTAAATATTTTTTATTATTTAATATTATAATAATTATTATTTTAAAGTATTATTTGTTGACGATATTCCTGGCTATTAATTCCTTCATAATTTCATTACTACCGCCGTATATGGGCTGAACCCTAGAGTCGCAGTAGGCCTTGGCGATGGGGTACTCCCACATGTAGCCCCAGCCCCCGTGCATCTGAAGGCAATCGTAGGCGACCTTGTTTTGAAGGTCAGTGGCCCTGTCGTGTGTATTGGTAAGTATATGTGTGGATGTATGTATGTGTGTGTGTATGTATGTGTGTGTATGTATGTATGTGTGTGTATATATCTGTGTGTGTGTGTGTGCATGTGTTTTATGATCAACATAAAAGTGTTTCATGATATTATACCAATATTTAGCCATAGAGGCCATATTTGAATCTAATTTATGATCATTGTGTATCTGGATGCAGGTGTCAACGAAACTTCTGGTCACACAGATGCTTGTTTTCAGTTCTGCCAGTTTGTGCTGGATCGTCTGTGGAGACAAATGAAAAAAAAAACAGAGGTAGGAATTTTATTAAAAATTAAATTTCGTATGTTAAGTTAGGTATTAATTATTTAATTAAAATTAGGGATTATTCCACATGAAAACAAATAATCTGAACCGACAGTATGCAAGATTAGAGATGAGATTGGGAATTTGGGTAAATGTGAAATTAGATAAGACATAATGGAAAAAAAACACTAAGAGGAAGTAACCTGAAGAGAGGATATATACTTTCCGAATGCTTTTCTTTGGTTGACGTATCGTCTGGTTTCTTCGAACATGAATTCAGAGGAGGCACAGCCAAGTAGGCCTATTATCAATCTTTCTTGGGGTAACTCGTTCATTAGGTAGTAGAATCCTGAATGAATGAATGAGTGAAGGAATGAAAGAATAGATGGATGGTTGGGTGGATGAGTGAATGAATGAACGGATGAATATGTTACATTACGTTGATTGATTGATTGATTGATTGATTGATTGATCGATTAATTAGATTGATTGATTGATTGATTGATTAGATTGATTGATTGATTTGATTGATTAAAAAAAGTTTTTTGACAGCATTTAAAAAATAAAATAAACAAAAATAAACACAGTTGAATGTTTGGCTAAACTTTTAATACGAACTGGATACAGAGATAAATAACCTTTACCGTTGTATGTGACTATCAATACATCCAAAAAATTAATTTCGTCAGAAACATGAATAGTTAGGTAGACAAGTGAACGAACGAACGAATAAATGGATGAATGAATAAACGAATGAATGGATAAACGAACGAATGAAACACAATTTGTAACCCTTATTTGCTTGACCAAGCATGGCCGATGCAGGCAGTCTGCAGTCATCAAAGAATAGTTCACAAGTGTCCTGGACAACAAAAATAATAATAATAAATAATAATAACAATAATGACGATGGTGATTCAAATAATGATAATTGAAATATAGTTATGAGGATTATGACGGTTACAAGAGTTTCAATGACGCCTGATAACTGTAACAAACTCAGCTTGGGACAAATGCAGATAACATCGAACTTTTAAAAACAAAATCATTCGTTCATTTATTCATCCATCTTTCCACTCGTCTTTTCATTCATTCGTTCATTCATTTGTCCATTCATTCATCCATTCATCCATCCATAAAATCCATGAAAAAAATCCTGACTTGGGCTTTCATCCCAATCTTCTTCAATTTCTCACCCTTCTTGAACCCAGGAGTGCCCTCGTCGACTACGAACAAACTGGTCCCGTGGGCTTTGGATTTGGCGTTGGGATCCGTGATTGCAACTACGATCACGGCTCCGGATAAATAGCCGTTTGTGATGAAAGTTTTACTACCATTCAGGATCCAATCATCTCCGTCTTTCTTGGCCAATGTCCGGATTCCTTGAAGATCGCTTTTGGTTGTATGTGTGTGTGTGATTGTGTGTGTATGTGTGTGTTATATATATAAATAAATATATATATATATCATCATTTTCGCCATCATCATCACTATCATCATCATCAGCAGAAGCAGCCTTGCCATCGAAATCATAATGACCTCCCAGCTCCAGGTTCTGTCATAGCCAGAGCACCAATGCAAGTGCCTTATAATGGTATTTAAGAAATTAATCAACTAACAATTAACCAATCAATTAACCAATTAATTAACCAAACAACCGGCCAGCCACCCAATCAATCAGTTAGCCAGTCATCAGTTAACTGACCAACAAATCAATCAATCAATCAACCAACTAATCAATCCACTGACCGACCACCAACCAGCTAGCATTCTTGGTATATATTTTTCAATCTGTTCCTTAGTCCCATAATGAAGAATGTACGGAATGACGATATCTGAATGCATTAAGAAGCCCGGACCAGTGCAGTTGCAGTAGGACCTTTATTATTAATTTTATCATTTGTTAATGTTGTTTATTCTTTATAATGCAACTTTCTCGAACGCAGGGCTGCTTACATGTTACTCTATTATTGTACTTGAACCTTCCAGCCAGGAAGATAGTACAGTATACTATCCACACGTAACTATTACGTATGCAAGCGCAAGCATCGCATCATACAGCGATGATGGTCTTTCAGTTTCGGACAGACAGCATTTGAACCAATCCATCGCGTAATAACGGCACAAGAAACGGTACTTTTACCGACTGAGCTAACTTATTATAATGGTTTTTATTATTTATAATGATTATAATTTACAGTACTTACTGCTCTTCAAGTACGATGGTGGATGACAGCCAATCCCCTCCGACACCTCCATATCTCTCTGGCACTCCTAATCCTAACAATCCCTGCTCCCCAGCCTTCATCCATAGCTATAAATAAATATATACACGTATACACACAGGCAACAAAACACATACACACACACGTATATATATCTTTGCATAATAGTATAATGGTTAAAATGCCTGGCACTCCTATGCAGTGACTTGGCTTGAATGCAACACACACACACACACACACACACACACACACACACACACACACACACACACACACACAAACACACACAAACACACACAAACACACACACACACACTTCTATATTTAAAAACCAACAACACCACCACAACTGAATTAATGATTCATAGCTAATTTTTAGAGGCAAAAAATTGTTTTTTTTTTAGGTCGTCATGAGCATTTAAGGATGACTAAGCTAAGCAGTGCTCAAGGAAAAAATAAATAAATTTTGTGACCTCTCTGCTGACTTCTCCTTTATTCTCCCACCTTAAAAGTTTAATTTAATTTTAAATGTAAAACTGAAAGAAATTAGAAAAAAAAACGAAAAAAACACAAAGAAAAACTGTATCTCACTCATCATGATAAGGCACTACTTCTTCCTTAAAGAACCTTCTAACATTTTCTCTAAAGAGATCATGCTCTTTATTGAATATCTTTCTAATCCCAATGTCCATCATATTTTCTGCTTGAGCTGTCTCCAGCCTAACTTCTGTCTCCCCAGTTGACTCTGATTTCGTTTGGTCACTTTGAAGAAATGCTTTTGAAGTCGAGACAGTTCTACACGCATGAGGATAATAATAACAAAAATAACTTTATTTATTTTATTAATTAAATTATGTTATTTAATTAATTGATAAATATTAAAATTAAATATAATTGTTATTTTAATAAATGTTGATTTAACCTTTATTGATATTAATTTGATTTTATTTAAAATAATTTGTTGGAATGAATTATGTATGATATTAAAAATTAAACAAAAAAGAGTGAAAATACATGCCTGCTGAAAAAGCCATTAAAATTCTTCTTTAACAAATGATTGACAACTCTTTGTCCTAATTTTAGCGATTTCATCTTGATATTTTAGACTGGGAAAATGAAATATTTTTTACGTTTTCTTAGTCAGAAATTTTATTTTGAATTTTTATGAATAAACGAACTAAATTAGTAAAATAAAGTAAAAGTTAAAAAACTGGAATAAAATTAGTAAAAAGCTAAAAGAAACTTTCTAAAACATTAATATGCAATTAAAATAAATTAATTTCAATTAAAATTAATAATACCTTTGCTGAGCTTTTTAATCAAAAATTGACAAACTCTAACCGAACGGAAAACATTAGCACACTACATACATACGTATGTAACATCCAGACCAAATACGCATCATTAATATAGGTAATGTAAATGTTACACATATGTTACACATATGTATATACCTACATATATACCGACATACATACATACAAACTAACATGCATGCATACATACAAACTACCATGCATACATACATACATACATATATGTTTAATAAATACCTACATGAAAATATATATGTATAAGTATATATATATAACATTGTTCCAGATTTTAACCTTATTTAGACATACTTTCAAAACTCATGTCTTAACATTGACAGCATATTTTGCAATTGTATGGTATATATCTAAATATTATACTCTCTCTCTTTCTCTCTCTTTCTCCCTTTTTCTCTCTCTCTCTCTTTCTTTCTTTCTCTCTCTCTCTCTCTCTCTCTCTCTCTATATATATATATATATATATATATATATATATATATATCTATACATTACATGTTTACAAAGTAATATATACAGATATGTAACACAATGTTTATATATTATATACAAATGGTTACATGCTTGGGTGAAATTTCCCATTATAAGCCCCATAATAACTTTTATTCTTTTGTTATTCTATTAATATACTATTTTTTATATTTGATTGTTAAACTTGAAATGTACAATCCCATATAAAGCCTTACACATCAAGAAAAAAATTGATTCTAAGATGCCTGCCTAATACCTGAGCGTCATGAAGGAAAATTTTAAGGATGGTCGTGAGAGTGAGAATTGAAGTAAAGATGCAAGTTTAGAAGAGTTTTGAGGTAAAGAAACAATTAGGAAAAGTATAATAATTAAAATTCTTAGTTAAATGACTATCGTTGTCAATGTAAAAATTATAATTCGTCTATATACATATAAGGTATAATACACAATTAACATCTGTTGAAAAATCTATAGTCTTTTAAAATTAAAAAGTGAATTAATTTCATTTATATATTAAAAATATTGCGTAAAATTTATAATTTATTGAATTTTAATTGTGTATTTAGTCATTAAATCACTATTTAAGTGAATATTTGAATGTTTTTCAACTTAGAATTAATATCTGCTATTTTTTATTTTTTGGCACGAAAACGAAGCGCTTTCCGTAAAATAAAATTATACATTCTTTGAACAATTTTCTAGCTATACGTAAATGTGTTTTCGCTAATTTTATTTTTAAATATAAATAATTTCGCGAATTAAATTAGAAATTTGATGACGAAAATGAGCAATTTGACACAATCAGATGCCTATTTTATCCTGAAACTGCCGATAGGTTACCTGATTTGTCTTTTCTTTGTGTTAAGCTAGCCATAACATAAGCAAGCGGAATGATTTCATTCAACCAACATGCCATGGACGGCTGAATTGTTAAAATTGTTTATTTAATTTAAAATTAAATTTAAAATAATTGAAAATGGCGATTCGATCCATTTAATTACTGTCGTTTGAGTTTATGTCTTGAATGTTTGTTGTTTGGAATATATTTTTGAATTTTGATGATAATTTTTCCTAAACTCTCCTAATTTTTAGTTTTTACATGACAGTTTGAGTCTAGTTAGTTGGGCATTTTGATATTTTTTAATCAAATTTAAAAATTATCTAAAAATTTTCACCAGGAGCAGATCTGGGAGCTGTCCAGAGCAGTTACAAAAGGCTGGCCCAGCAATGGTTGCCAGAAAAGCATCAGAACTCTGAAGAGTCTATCAGTGTATGTAAAAATATTATTATTTAAGTTCACTTTTCATTTTTGTTGATTAAATTTATTTTTTAGTTTATCTATTTATTTTTATATTTAACCTGTTTTTTGTCCTGGTTATGACATTAAACTGACCCTCACTGCCTTGTGAGTGATGTTGGATCATCAAAGGCTAGGCCCACCGCTTATAACTGGTTGCGTAAGGAAGGACATCCTGCGTAAAAATTAGCCAATAAAATATTTATGATGACAAAAGGGGTATTTCAGGTTTCATCATAGGTAGCCAAACGGCAACCCCAATCTCGGGGAAAATGTCGTCTAAACGTGTGTTGTTGTTGTTATATTTAACCTGTTTTTTGTTAAATTTTTTATTGTTTTAATTTATTGTTTGTCAATTAATTAAAAAAATTGGTTTATGTTTGTAACCTACAATTGTATTTTGTCATTTTTCTTTCATCAATGTTTTATTTCTTTTTTATTAAAGTAAATTTTTTTTTAATTTTTATCAGATGTTTAGTCAGATAAGTAGGGCTTATACAAGATTGAATTCAGAAAATGATCAAGTCGATATCGACATGGTAAGTGCATTTTTTAAGAGTTTCAAGTAATTCTTACATAAATAATTATAATAATATTTATTCATAATTCATAATTATTATAGATTCATAATAACCACACACATATATATATATATATATATTTATATATTTGTTTATTAAGCCTTCCTCATTAATTTTTTATAAAATTTTTATTGGTATTGATTAAATCATAAAAAACACATTTTCAACTATAGATACCAATTTTTATTTAATCAAAGGGCAGCAATATTTTTTATAATTTTGTGCTTATTTGATAAAATTTGCAATGTTTGACAACATAAATTCAAAAAAAAAACAAAAAATTAATTTCACCTTTTGTTTGTATGTGTATGCTTGTTTGTTTGTTTACGTGTGGGTGTGCGTGTTGGTGTGTGTGTGTGTTAGGTGCAGATGACACACACACACATATGTATATATATATATATATATATATATGTGTGTGTGTGTGTGTGTGTGTGTGTGTGTTAACTGAACTTAAGATGATAACAATTACAATTGATGATGTATGTATATATATATATATATATGTATATATATATATATATGTATATATATATGTATATATATATATATATATATGTTGATAAAAGACCATAATTTTTACAATATTCTATAAATTCTACCGAATGTTTGGGGTTAATATGTTTGTAGTTCGTATTTTCGATTTTTCTCACGAAAGTTTTTTGGTGAACGTTTAGTTTATTAAAATTCAAAATAAACTTATTTTTCGAATTCATGCTGCAAATAAGGCCATATTTCGATTCCGAATGAATCATCATCAGTGCTCCTTGTTGTATATATAGGGAAATATTGACTTTGTCAAGATTAACTTTGACGTTGTAAAAATTAACTTTGGTGTTGTAAAATTGAACTTTGATGCGAATTAGGTGTCAGGTTTCTTAATTGGCTGGTCATCTTCTTTGGTCTCCTTTTCTTCATTGATAGCATCATATTCTTCTTTGTCACTATTTACGATGCTAGTTTTTATTACTTCTTTGTTTTCGTTGTTGGTTTATTTCCCTATATATACAACAAGGAGCACTGACGATGATTCATTCGGAATCGCGACGCTGAATTAAAGAGGGTCACTAACCTGCTTGTAAACAATGGATATAAGACTTACTCTATTGAAAAGATTGTTAAAAACAAATTACTACACAGCAATAACCTTCCTAGTACCAACAATCAAGATAACGACATCATCTTGTATTACAGAAATCACATGTCAACAGCATACAAGGTAGATGAAGCTATTCTTAAGCATATCATCAATAAAAATGTCACACCAACCATCCCAAATAGTAAAGTTAAACTCCGAATTTATTACAACAATAAAAAGACGTCTCACCTAATACTGAAAAACAACTGCAGTCCTAGAGATAACTCTGAGTTAAAGCGTAATCACGTAATATATGAATTTAATTGCCCCTTTGACGTCTGTGCACGTCAACATGACTCATATATCGGGATTACTACTCTAGACTGACTAGAAGGCTTACGATGCATAAACAGAGTGGTGCTATCAAATCTCATTTGGACTCAACACACTCAATCACAATTAGCCGTGAAATCCTCGACAGCAACACCAAAGTAATATACCAGAACAGCAACTACACGCATCTTAAAATTGCAGAAGCAGTCCTATTCGACATCAATAAACCAAAAAAAAAAAAATAAATATACAACAAAAAATGACAACCTCACTTCCAACCCGGCGCTTAACCAACAACGAAAACAAAGAAGTAATAAAAACTAGCATCGTAAATAGTGACAAAGAAGAATATGATGCTATCAATGAAGAAAAGGAGACCAAAGAAGATGACCAGCCAATTAAGAAACCTGACACCTAATTCGCATCAAAGTTCAATTTTACAACACCAAAGTTAATTTTTACAACGTCAAAGTTAATCTTGACAAAGTCAATATTTCCCTATATATACAACAAGGAGCACTGACGATGATTCATTGGGAATCGAAATATGGCCTTATTTGCAGCATGAATTCGAAAAATAAGTTTATTTTGAATTTTAATAAACTGAACGTTCACCAAAAAACTTTAGTGAGAAAAATCGAAAAAACGAACTACAAACATATTAACGCCAAACATTCGGTAGAATTTATAGAATATTGTAAAATATATATATATATATATATATATATATATATATATATTTGTGTGTGTGTGTGTTTTTGTGTGTCAGTATTAGTGTGTTTATTTGTTTTTGCTCATGCATCAGTCCTAGTCATCATCAATTGTAATTGTTATCATCTTAAGTTCAGTTAACACTTTAAACTTTGGCCAAATATGCATTATATTCAAACATGCATACATTTGTATATAGTTGTTATGTATATGTATATGTGTATGTGTGTACATCCCTATGTATGTATGTAAGTATGTATGTATGTATTATGTATGTATTTATGTATGTATGTTTTATGTATGTATGTTTGAATGGGCTAGTGTTGTTTATAGGTGCCCTATTTAAAAATCAGCTAAAATTTAATAGCAACAACAGTGGTAGTGATAGTATGTTAATGACAATTGTATATACAAATGATTGCCTGTTGATTGATTGATTGATTGATTGATTGATTGATTGATTGATTGGACAGGATGAGATGTTCAGATTGTTCAACAGAGTTGTTCATCCCAAGTCTAAAAAGAATAATTGTAAGTGTGCTCGCACATGATTGGTTGATTGAATGATGGATTGAACGATTGATTGATTATTTGATTGATTTATTGATCAATTTGATGATGGGTTGGTTGACTGATTGATTGATTGATTGATTGATTGATTGATTGATTGATTGATTGATTGATTGATTGATTGATTGATTGATCGATCAAATAAATAATCAGTTGACTGGTTAGTTTGTTTGTTGGTTGAATGATTGATTGATTGATTGATTGATTGATTGATTGATTGATTGATTGATTGATTGATTGATTGATTGATTGATTGATCGATTGATCGATTGATTGATTGATTGGACAGGATGAGATGTTCAGATTGTTCAACATTGATTGATTCATTAATTCACCTAACAGCAAATTCCATAGCTGGGAAAACAAAAACATCAACAACAGCAACATCAAAGGCACCAACAAAACCCAAAACTACACAATCAACATCAACAACAACTACTACTACAATCAACGATACTATATCAAA